TTGTTATGTATTACTTACTAAAGATATTTGATCGTTGTAATAAAAACTTTTGGGTAGTTTAAAAAAAAACCTACCAAATAAATATTAAACTATTACGGAAAAAATTCGCAAAATTAAAATGACCATAAATAGTTTAAAAATGGCTCAAATATTTTGAAAATTTTATCACGCCGGAAAAGGCAAATTAAAAGTTTTCTGTTCAAGTTTCAAATTTTTAAAAACATTTTAAACTGAATCACAATTAAAAACAAAATTAAAAATAATAAGAGCATTTGTATATTTCCCCGTTTTTTCCCACTTATTTTTAAAAATGCTTAAAAAAAAACAAACAATTGAGCTCCCCAGGAAAATTTCTTTTCAGGAAAGGTAACTTAAAAATCGGAGCAAGATTTTTGATATAATTTTAGTATACAGTATTGAAAAAAAAAATTAACATCGTAGTATACTGCAGTAGTGGATTTTTAACAATTTTCTGGGAGGGGACCTGAAGAATCATATATATTTAAAGATATCTCTATTAATAGACACCCCTTTTTTGGACGATATTTTATTGGAACTATATCGATGTCTAGGGGGTCCAAACCCCTTCCCTCCGTAAATCCGCCACTAATAGTATAAACAATACATTCTCCGCTACACTCAGAATCTAAAATTCAGTTTAGATATTATTATCTGAAACGTACAATTTAACCAAAATATAATATTCTATTTAGATATGTTCCAGATAACAAACAAATCAATGAGGTGTCCGCTTATTTTCAAAAATTGTCTATCCCTTAATCTAATGCTAATTAAGCCACTAATTTACCATGGGTAATCTACTACCGTGGGGAGGGTTTAAACTTGAAAGTTTGTTCTTAATAAAATAAAATAAATTTACAGTTTCATTCCGGTCTACTGTAATATAAAAATGATTTTGATTCTTAAATTACAAAAGTTGAATTTTATTTGTTTATTTCTAGGTTACCTTGATGACACAGTTAATTAAATTGGACTGGGCATCGCCCCAAATATTATCAATTATGTAGGTACCTATAGGTAATATGAAATGTATTTTATTACTTAAATATTATTTTTTTATAAATTAAAAATTGTTCTAATATATATTGGACTTCATTGTAATTTTTATTTTTTTGTCATCTGTTGTTTTATGAATATAACCATTAGAACTTTAGCCATCAAGTTTTTTTTTCATCAATAGCACTGCAAAGTTTTATTCTTACAATTGTCTATTTATCAAACTTATGTTTATATGAACAGGAATAGGGTAAAGTAATTTAAATTAAGTCAAAATTTCGCTGATCATGCCTATGTATGATGGGCACGACTAATGGACATCCCTAAAATATTCTACTTATTGAACTTACTAACAAGTCAGCCAAACGGTATGTATCTACTAAAAAAAAGCGTGACTGTAGTATCATTCGCTGTAATGACGAAATCCAGTATGTACCTATGTATTAAAATAACTTTTTAAAAAGAACTATTATAATAATAATTGCACTACAATTGTCTCCCTTTGTAAATAATATCAAAATATTCCTGTTAATTATCCATTAATATTCCATAATTGAAATGAATTAAGGCTAATACCTAGGTCCTTACTAAAAAAATTTGATTAAATTATTAATTAAATTGAATTAATATATTATTATCATCAATAATTTAGTTCCGGGGTTTTTAAATTATGAAAAAAAAACTAACTCGAAACTTTTATTCTAATTTAAGTTAATTATTTTCACTAACTTCTAAATTAGAATTTCAGTAAATTTTAGAAAATAACTTTTACATTAACTTTATTAGTGTTTATGTTATAATAACTTAACTATAATTAATTAAAAAAAAAAAAAAAAACACTAACTTGCTCAGCTTTGTTTAAGTAAAAGTTCATTTAAATAATTCAAAACTAATAAGTAAAGGAATATTTGTGTGAAGAAATTATTAATATTTTAATACTATAATATGAACTTACATGCATGGATGGACTGGGCCACTGTGCTACTGTGCATAGTAACATTTGCACAGTGGGCCGCTACAAAATAACACAATGTGTATTATATTTTTAAAATCAAAATATTTTTTTAGACAAATATAAGTACTATTAATTATTATATTACATTTGAATAAAAAATCAATTATATGTTGACGTTATATATAAACAGGGTGATTTTTTTATTACGAAACAGCAATTATCTCAGAGGATTTTAAGTGAATTTGATTTCTGTTTTTCTAATCATTATGGAATCGTTTAAGCTTTATTTTAAAACCATTTTTAATTTTTTACGCCTAATTCATATAACTTAAATAAGTGCATACTTTTGATTTTCAAATAGGACCCCCCTCTTTTAAATACAGAATATTTTTTTAAAAATTTTGATATGCATAACATTAATAATAGTTTAAAGTTTAGAGTGGAGGAGTAAGGAAGGGTAATAAGTGATAGGCAACTTATGACCCTTCTCTACTCCTCCGGTCTACATTCTAAACTGTTATAACTTATAAATGGTAAATCTGATATTAGTGTTATGTATATCAAAATTTCTAGAAAAATATTCTCCATTCAAATCCGTGTTCAAAAAGGAGGAGGTTCATTTTTAAAAATCAAAAGTATGCATTTATTTAAAGGATGTGGAGTAGGGTTAAAAAATTAAAAATGGTTTTAAAATTAAACTTAAACGGTTCTATAATTATTAGAAAAAACAGAAATCAAATTCACTTAAAATCCTCTGAGATAATTGCTGGTTTATGATATTAAAAAAGTTAAACAATTGATCTTAGCCAATAATATTGAAATAACGGGAATTCTTAAAACGACCAATCAAAACACAACTGAAATCATAAGCACTGTGGCTCAAGTGCTTAACTATTAGTTCAATAGAAATTATGTAATTGATTCCTTCAGGTTAAATCACGCTAAAATCATGGTAGACAAATAGTTATACAATTTAATTCAAAATCAATTAAAGATTTATACATAAATAATATGAAATCCCGTTACAAAGACAAAAATTCACTTATGGCCAAAGATATATATATATATATATAAATTTCGGTAACTCTAAGGAATTCATTAACGACCAACTTACCCAAATTAACAATAAACTACTATCCAAAATTTAGAAAATTGATGTCGAGAAAAAAATTTTGTCAGTATGATAATTTTAATCATAAATAACTTTTCATAAAGGTAACTCTTATTGTAAATTGTATTTTTTATAGTATTATGAGTTTCTCAAGTTTCGACTTTAATTTCCTAAATGTAAATAATAATTTAAAATATAATACTCAAAATATTAATATCCTAAATGAAATTGTCAAAAATAATAATGACTGATTTGTCCTCAGCATGAATATTCGTAGCATTCAAAAGCACTTTAATGAACTTATTATTTATTTAAGTAATACTGATATTAAATTTGATATAATCTGTTTGTTTGAAATATGGTTGGAAGAAGATACTTTCGATTTTCCGATGGAAGGCGCTTCAAGCTTATTTATTATAGTAAATTAAATAAATCAGATGATATAACAGTATTCATTAGAAACTCAATAAAAATGAATTAGGTACATTTAGAGGAGATAAATTTCTGTAGTTCTTTGAATCTTAGTATTGTGTATAATGATACTACTCTAAATTTAATTTGTGTTTATCGGTCTCGAAGTTTACCATAAGAAATTTTTTATATATTTTAGTTCCATTAGAGTACATTTTTAATTTGTCACTTTCTTTAGGAATTTTCCCAAATTTATTTAAACAAGATGATAAGAAACATTG